GCCAATGCATCACCAGCCGAGCTCCAAAGAGCTGCTCTTACGATAAACATCGCCAGCGAATGATTCCATCCAGAAAGTAAGTGACATGTCAAAAACTGAATACCCCTTGGGCTAACCGTCCTCCAGGGCTCTGGATAGCTTGGCACAATCTCTCGAGGAGTGTCGGTCAGTGCTTCGGCGCCTTTACCCAAACCATGACGTTTCTGCCCTGCGGACCATGGACAAACAGGAACTAATCAACCTCCTGGCTCAATCACAATGTCCACTTGGAGATCCTCTTCCATCACCACCTCTCGAGTCATCATTTCCCAAGCCAGACACATCTCTGGTACCATCAGACTCCCTCCTGGAACTTCAGTCTTCTCTCGAAGCTGACCTCGACTCGCTCATCGGAGAGCTTGAATTTGAGATACCCACCGAACAGCTTGAAACCAATGATGGATCCGGCTATCTCACACAACAAACCTGGTGGGACTATAGCTCACGGCAATGGAGCTCGGTGCCTGTACCATCTATGATGGAGGGTCAGCCATATGGCCATGACTTGGTCACTCCGATGCAACACTCGATGTATGAGGATGAGCGTGGAATCTACGGCTCACTTGAAATGAGATGACAAAGATGTAAACTTTCTCGATGTATTTTTACATGCGATTCCCGACTCTGAGTGGGTATAGGGGCATCATGCACCCCCGGGGGCGCAGGTCGTCTCCTTGGCCGGATCACAGCTTACGACAATGGAACGAGGTCACGACCCTTTACTTGCTTTACGTTGCTTCGCTTCACTTTAGGTATCTACTATCTACAGTATGACTACCTAGGTACTTTACTTTGCCCCCCTTAGGTAGTATCTATTTACAAACACATACATATCTCTTGATGTTTGAGTACCTTCCCTTAGCACCTAGATACCTAAGGTCCCTTGGCTTAGGTACCTACGAACCTACCTACTTACCTAGGCACTGTCTTTGTGTCAGTTTCTCTCTACTCCATTGTCAAGGGGATTGGAAGTGTACCTACCAGGTACCTACTATCCCTTCCATTAAGGTAGGTTAGGTAGTACCTTAAGCAAGGTTCAAATTCCACATCTGGAAGGCATCATCGTGGTGCTCTTCCTTCCCACGTCTGTTGGTATCAACCATGCCGTTCCTATCCTCAAGATGAACCGCAACCCATCCCCTTCCGTCAGAAAGCAATCGTCCTTGGGCACGAATCTTTTGCGCAACGCGGGCGCAGAATCACAGAAGAGCAGACATGGAGCACGCACTTACATGCAATAACCTCAAATGTCGAAGAGAGCTGAGCGAACGTGCACTTGTGACGACTTGCAGGTAAGCATATGACTTTCAGAAGTCAGCGATCCTCTGACATCAAGATTAATAGCCATATCTTCTGCATGGAATGCGCCCAGCGACTCGGTGTCAACGGACAGGAAGCTGATCGCCGTAACACATGCCCTGCCTGCCATTCGCAACTAACCAATCCCGACGACGCCGTGATTACGAACCTGAATCCAAGTGAAGACTACAAGACCAGTGTTCTAAGCGGACTTAGCCCCAACGTTATCATGGAATGTGCCGGTCGGGCTCTCAGCTTCTGGGCTTACCAGACCACCCAAGACATCTATTACCAACAGTATTTATACAAAACCCTGACCGACAAGTACTCAAATCTCAGCGTCCGCCTCGAGAAGACCGTAAACGACGCTAATTCGGAGATCGAGGGTCTTCACCACAAGTTGTCAAGTTAGTGCTCTACTTCTCCCAGATTCGCACCTATTCAGCTGACACAGAGCAGGTCTAGCAGCAGAACAGGATGCTCTGCGGCGCAAGAATGACGAAATCTCCCGAGCTTACAAAGACAAAAGTCGCAAGGTCCTGCAGTTACAAGAACTCTACGACAAAGTCAAGAGAAAAGCTGAGCTTGGTCAGATTCAGAGGGCAGCATCGGATGCTGTTGACTCAACCTTCCAAACAACACAGATGGACTCAGGCTATGAAATTAACTTACCTACACAAAGCCATGTTGAAAACATCCCTCTACCAGCCTTTAGCCAGAGTCATCGCATTGATATCTCAGGAATGAAGACCGGCCTCTCACGAACCTATACAAGTATGACAAGAGAAGGAAACCATTGGCCACGACTAGGAGGGCCATCTCATCGTGAGCATTCATTTCACCAGCATACATTACTTGCTGACATATGACAGGCGATACATCAGAGGCCCCTGTTGGTGGTCTCCGCCGATCTGGCATCAACACAACATCCGTACACCAAACGGCGACATTGCCAACTCTCGCGGGAACCCCAATTCCTAGTTTTGGCGGTACAAGACAGTCTACAAACATGTACGCTCCAGGCTTCAGTCATCATCGGGGTAGCCTGGCAGGTGTTGGACTAACATCCGGCATAAAAGTCAGCCAAGCGAATAACCTACCAGCATTGGATATGCCCTCAAGGCATCTATGAACTGGACAGGACAGTAAGAAAGTGACAGCCTTCAGTGCATCAAGCTTATTGCGATATCTTCTGTCGCTTTGTTCTCAAGGTCGGCATTAGCGGTAGTGTTTGATGCCCCAGAACAAAGGAGGGGAAATTCAATAGTGGTTTTGCTGTTCATGTATTCAACAGCGTTCTGGTTTGGCGCTTTGTTCACACTGATAGATAATTTATTCAATCGATGGCTTTGATGGGAACACAGTGACTGTTGAGAAATCATATCTGCATTTTCTTGTATGTGATGGCTGAATCATAGACATTAAAAGCAGCTTCCACAGCAATCTAGACTCGATCTCCTCTTTTCCGTAGGGATAGCAGCACTTATTTCGAACATCATATACAACAGGTGATCAAACATGCAAGACAGCTTCATCGCTAAAATTAAATGGCATACCCAGTCGGCACTAGGTTTGCCGTCATCTGAGCCATCAGACTCAGGAGACGGCGGTAAAACTGTGCAAGTATTCGCGCGCATCAGGGAAAAAACCAGGGAATGGCACAAGCTGAGAAGGGCTGAGGGTAAGGCTCAGAATCTACGAGCACAGTATCTCGCTGAACAAGCCAAAATCCAAGGTACGGTGCCGCCTCCGAACACCATATCACGTCCAGCCATGGAACTGCAACGGCTTCTCCCTGGACTAGCGGAGCTACCAGGTGACAACACAGATGCATATTCCCAGGCGAGACTTGAGCCAAGTCAGGCAGCGCAGCAGCGGCAGCAGCAGCATGAAACCCCTGGCTCTCGTCCAGTTCCTGCCACTGATGACTCTCATCCACACGGGAAGAGCGGCAAATTCATTATTGTTTCTGATCCCGTGCTCTTTAATGCGAAGGGCTCTGCTCACCGACACAAAGACACGCCTCATGCACAGAGAAACGGAAACGTTGAATATGAGCGGGATCTAAAGATACTATCGGATGAACCTTGTATTCCTCAACCCCGAATAGGTCCAAGTCTTGTCGTACAAGATGATGATATTGAAGTTCTTCTCGAGACACGCAAACAGACGATCCGGAGAGATTACGAACAGCTAAGGGAAGTCAGGATAGGGCTAGAGCGCCAAATCCTCGTGGCGAAAGAGTTTGCCTTCCAGCTGTACTGCCAGACACATAAATGGGAGTATTGGAGCCCAATTCTACAAGACCCTGTTCCCCTGCTACAGGTATTAAAAGGACTTCAAACGACCATGCTATGGCTGCAAGCCCGCGTTCAGTGGTATGAGAGAAAGTACCCGGGACTTCGTGAGCAGTACAACACGTATATGGGATTGCAGAACAAGGCCTCTGAGGTGGTAAGGCTGGAGGATAGCGACATTTAACTGGCTGGGCTACGCTGAAATGGATCGTTCTTGATATCGAGGTAGATTAGGATATTTTGTGGAGTCTTTTTGGTATGTTTATTACCCCGGATCATTCATATCTTGGCTTCTGTTTTCTTGATTCTACTATGTTTTCTCGTCTCTAAAAGATGGTTGTCTGGGACAGATAGGGGCGTCTTTCATGCGTCATGGGCAAGAGAGAATGCAGATTGCAATCAACGAATGGGACAGAAGATACACTGGAGTAAATGAATATTTCTTCGAAGCTAAATTATGGTCAAGGGATGCCATTCGATCCATCGAACGAGACTGACTGTGACTGCAAGTGAGTGTGATCGATTAAAATGTGACAATGTTCGTGTCGAGCCTCACCTCATACGGATTACTAGGTACCTAAGGTATTCTATTCTTAGATTTTCACGTGATGTAAAGTTTGAAGATAGGAAGGTGGCATGGCCGCGTAAGGTACCGTACCTCAAAGTGAGGTATGCACTGCTGACGCCATCGTACAATCCATTCCAGCGAGCGAGCCAACGGAATCGGAGCAATGCGCCCTGTGGTCCTGTTTTCGTCCCTTTTCCCCCCCTTATCAACAGCCTTCCTTATCTTGAATCACCAGCTGTCCAACTGCACTGCGCCGTACGCATTAACTTAGTCCAATCAATTCGACACCAAATCCACTTCCAGTCTCGTGTCTTCGTCGAATCCTTGTCAAACTTCATCCTTGCTAGCCCTCTTTGGCGTTGATCACTTCTTCGTCCCAGTCATTGTTGATATCTTGCTCTACGACTCTTGTTTGCAACTTTGTACCTCCAATTTCCACTCGCTTATCAACGCATCCGGATGATGCTCGACGCTCGCTTCACCTGCTAGACCTATTCAGCGATATCTTTTCGGGGGCCGGCCTCTAGTTTTATCTCGTTACATCTTCTCGACGCTCTCGCTATCGTCAAAGTCGAAATATCATCAACTTCGCTCAATAGGGGATCCACCCCGTGTCGCGACGTCACAAACCGTCTCATAACGGTTGAAACAGCTCGTCCAACGCCGATTGCGGTATACTTGTCAAGAAAAACATTCGTGACGACGAAATAAGTTACGCCAACTCATATCTAATTTCCTCCGTCCTTATCGTCGCTGTTGCACCTGTCAGAACTAAACAACCCCAATCTTCTACCCTAATGGGTAAATCATGTCGGTATTCGCCTTCTTGCTGGTAAACTTTTGACTGACAGTTGTGTCCCACACAGCACAATATGGCGTCATTCTTGACGCTGGTTCCTCAGGGACTCGAGTATACATCTACAAGTGGAAGAATCACGCCAAAGCGACCAAGGATGCGTCGGCTGCCGAGCTCAGGTCTCTCCCAAAGATCAAGCTCAAGGAAAACAAGAAGATCCATCCTGGCGTTTCGAGTTTTGCAGAGAAGCCTGCGCAAATCGGTCCCGATCATCTGCAGCAACTGATCGATATCGCTCTCGACGAAGTCCCCGACAGCAAGATTTCCGAGACCCCCGTTTACCTCATGGCAACGGCAGGCATGCGATTGCTACCAAAGCCTCAGCAGTCGGCACTCCTCAAATCAATGTGCACCTACTTGCAGTCGAATACGAATTTCATTCTTCCGAATTGTGATGCCCATATTCAGGTTATCACTGGTGAAACCGAGGGTCTGTACGGCTGGATAGCGGCGAATTATTTGCTGGGCGGTTTCGATCACCCTGAGGAGCACGACCATGGCAAGAATCATCACACCTACGGCTTCCTCGATATGGGTGGCGCATCTGCTCAGATTGCCTTTGCTCCAAATGCAACTGAATCCGCAAAGCACGCAGATGATCTGAAGATTGTGCGCATGCGAACACTCGATGGATCACCATCCGAATACAAAGTCTTCACTGCAACCTGGCTCGGGTTCGGTGCCAATCAAGCCCGCAGCCGTTATATCGAACGTCTACAAGAACACTACAATACTGACTCTACCCACGAGCTGCCTGATCCCTGCATGCCTAATGGCTTGCGAACTACCCTAGACGGTGAACTTGTTGAATCAAAGTCGGATAAGACAGTTTTGGTTGGCACAGGAAAGTTCGACGAATGTTTGACGGTAACCTATCCTCTACTGGGCAAAGACAAGCCCTGCGAAGACCAGCCCTGCCTTGTCAATGGCCAGCACGTACCCGGTATCGACTTCGATATCAATCACTTCGTTGGTGTTTCGGAATATTGGCATACAACTCATGGTGTCTTTGGCGGAAAACACAAGGCTTACGATCTGGCGACATATCAAAACAATGTCATGGAATTCTGCAGTCGCGATTGGTCAGACATTGAGGGAGATCTTGACAAACGCAAGAAATCACCGGAAAAGAAGGCAGCCGAGGCCCGTTTAGCTTGTTTCAAGGCATCGTGGCTGATTAATATGCTCTATGACGGAATTGGCATCCCTCGTGTTGGTCTCGAAGGTAGTGCAGCCAACGACACTATTAAGGACGATGGTGAGAAGTCATTTAACGACCCTTTCAGGCCGGTGGACACAATCGATGGCATCGAGTTAAGCTGGACTTTGGGCAAAATGGTCCTATACGCTGCCGGACAAGTTCCTCCCTCCGGTTCCGAGCTGCCTGTTGGCTTTGGAAGCAATGTGGACAAGGGGATAGCGAAGGACTTTGAGCACGCTGGCTCTTCACCTATCGCTCCCCACACAGGTAACGACGACGATGACGATGACCTGGAAGATCTTCTGAAAAAGCCTGGAAAGTCAACCGGTGGGCTCGTCGCATTTGTTCTGATAATTCTGTTGGTCGCCTATTTGCTCCGCAAGCCTGAGCGAAGAAGAAAGATATTCAGCATGCTTAGCCGGCGAAAGCGATCAGGGAAATCAGGCCGAGGCTCCTCTCTTGTCCAAAAACTCTTCGGACGAAACTTAGGGCCATCTTATGAGAGAGTAATGGAGGAGGGTGACTTCTCTGATTTCGAATTGGGCGATGTCGATTCGGATGAACACGACCATTCGGATAGCAGTAGTAATGGTTCGCGAAAGGGACGAGCATCGGGTCTAGCGACACCTAGTATCTCTGCAGGCCGTGCGGACGAACTCACCCGCCCTCCGTCAGCAATGGATCGTGCCGGACTTGTAGTGCGGACTGAAAGTCGAGAACGGCTCTCGCCCTCACTGTTGAGTGCTGGCCGAAAGAGCCGCAACGGTAGCCCAACTCGTGCGAAGAGTCCATTCATGTCGCCTGTACGGGAAGATTGAGCGATTCGATATGATTCATGGGAACACATTAATGCGAAGTTTATATTCATCTGGTATTTTTTTTCCGGGGGCAGCATAATGGCGTTAGCGAGTTTGTTGGAACTGGAGGAGCATTTAAAGATATGGCGTTCAAAAGAACGCATATACCATAAAACAGAGTCGTGACAGTTATTAGTCTGTTGGAGTTTGGCGACGAAATTGGAGTTTCTCTTAGATATCACACAGTTACGATATTGGTTTGGAGCTTCTGGGAGCGTTTCACAGCGATGTTGTTTCTCGGTAGGGGCGTACGCTCAGTTGTGCGACTTGGTATTCAATTAATTAATTTTGTCAGTTACTCAAAGCAGGGGCTCCTGTCTGTTGGTTTATTGCTATGATCCCCCCCTGATACCATACCAGCCAGGCTCGCCTTTTAGCCGTTGAATATATTCCCTGCCCGAATGTGATACACCTTGAAGCTTCGATCGGGCATTTCCAGAGGCTTATGAGCCAACACTAATCTGATTGCTTCTCCAGGAAACTAGGATCTGCCCGAACTCTCGATTCAAACTTGCGCCACCAGTTTTCAAAGGCTTTGAGCGGCACAACCTCAACACCACCAGGTCCTGCTGTACCGCTAAAACTTGATAGAAAGTTGAATGCGTTCTGGATGATGCGTTGTGCGAGTATAGCCGTACTGGGCTGGCCGCCTGATGGGTTGCCAGACTTAGTGGCAGCGAGCTCTTGTAAGCGCTGGCCAACAGACTCTTCTGGCTCCACTGATACACCAATCACCAAATCGCCGGCCTCTCCTCCACCGCTAATCTTGAACATGGCGCTCTCCTTTCCAGGACCTATACCTCCAAGGAAGCGAAAGTTGGGTGTGCCGCCTGACTGAGCTGCTGCCGCGACATCGGCGGCAGTTGCTAGGTAGATTGCTGCTGCAGTGTTCGGCGGGAGACTTATGCCTGGTAGTATAAAGACAACAATATGTGAGAAGTGTTTTGTGGTGGGGAGAGCGTAGAGGAGTGAGGTTGGCGAGGGGGTTGAAGAAGGTTCTGTGATGAGTGGTTGGCCCGCAGGGACGATGCCAAAGAGTGGGCTTGACATGATGATATCAATATCAAGATGAGTAGGATATAGTCAATCGTAAGATCGATCGATCATGTGGTAAAGGAATATTTGATTCTAACCAGGGATGGGAGGGGAAGGCTGTATGTAGTGAGTTCTTTGTATAAGTTCGCTTTCGTTGTTTCGCTGGCTGCTAACGGAGTAGTCTAGTGTGAAATGATTGGTGGGTGTTTCGAGGATAATCTAGAAACAAGTGGAATTTTGGTAAGTACGGAGTACGTAGCAATGGATCTGTTCAGCAGTGACCTCCAAGCCCCTAGGGTTCCCTACAGAGGGGGTTTAGGGTAGGGGACAGGAGATTGCATGCCAAGTTGGCCCTTGATGTTTCAACATAGGTACCATATTAGGTTGGGTGACGGAAATATTGGGAAGTCGGCTGTACCGTACTACACGAGACTGAAGGTTATCGGGGGAATGTGTCCTTCAATCTTCTGCAGCACTTGGAAGTGTATCTACTATGTAGAGCCAAAGTTCTGGGCTTACTTGGTCTCATGGAGCAGCGTGGGGCTACCAACATGTCACAAGTATCTCGTCGCTGATCTGGTAAAAGCAGAGCCACCTTAGTACCTGCCTTATCCTACTTCCTGATGTAGCTTCACCGAGAAGTCCAGACAGACACCAGCCGGAGCTCCATATCATATCCATCTAATCACCCCCGAAGAGCATACAGTACATTTCGAGGGCAGGGACTTGCTCTACCCATCTCGCACATAAGCATATAAGCCATCGTTGGGAAAAGCCCGCAACTGCACCAACCTTCCACTGCCAAACAGTCGGTACCTTGGTTAGTCAACATTGACTTCATCATCTACCTCGGGTATTTATTTATTTGATCATATACGATATCAGATCAGCTACGAACCAAGGATATCCCACCAACACAATAATTCAAGCATCCGTCCTTCCTTGCTTCAAGATGGCCAAAACAAACATCGATCTCATCGACGAAGTCGACATGTACGGTTCAAAATCCCTACCATTCTCATACAAGTGTAACTCATCTCTCAAGGTTCCCGTATGCCGAGACTGATCCCGATGCTTTCACCAAAATGAATGCCGGGCTCTATACTCTAGTATGGAGAGATAGCAAAGGCACATACCCTGTTGGGTACATCCTAGACCGTGTGGCCAGAGAGCTACACCAGGTTCCTGAAGAGGTCAGGGGAGAGATGGAATGCGATGACGAGAAGAAAACCATTGTGCTCTTTCAGGAACCTACAGAGGAACAACGTACTCGTCGCGCGGCAACCCTGGCCGACTATTGGCGGAAGAATGGGACATTCCCTCTTCTACGTCGCTGGCGCGACGAACTCTGGCCTGTATACGGACGAAGTGGCGAGCTATTGTTCAGCATGGAACGAGCCGCGATAGGCTTGCTTGGTACGGTGCGTTACGGCGTTCACATGATTGCGTATGTCAAGGACGAGACTGCACCTCACGGCATTCGCCTCTGGGTCCCCACGCGCGCTTGGAACAAGGCAACCTTTCCCGGCATGCTTGATAATACCGTGGCAGGTGGTTTGATGACAGGAGAGGACCCCTTCGAATGCGTCATTCGCGAGGCTGACGAGGAAGCCAGTCTTCCCGATGATATCGTTCGCAAGGGTGCCAAGTTTGTCGGCAATGTCGCATACATTTACATCACGGACGAGGGACAGGTTGGCGAAGGCGGCTTCATTTATCCTGAGTGCCAGTGGTTATACGATCTCGAGCTTCCCAGCGATGTAATCCCTCAACCCAAAGATGGTGAGGCGGAGAAATTTGACCTCTGTGACGTTAATCAAGTCAAGACGGATCTCGCCAAGGGTCGATTCAAGTCCAACTGTGCCCTCGTGACCCTCGACTTTTTCATTCGTCATGATATTCTTACTGACGGAAACGAGCCCGAGATTGAGCAGATCAAGCGGAGAGTGCGCCGCGACATTCCTTTCCCAGGTCCGCATCAAAGCAATTGGCGCTCATTGTGATTCTGATAGACCAGACTCACAGAGGCGAGATAGAGTCTTCGACTTTGAGAATCATTGGGGGCAACACGGCGGTTTTCGCATGGGTATCATTAATGTGACCTAGAGCTAGTGGTAACACAAAAGCCCATAGTGATGGCGAAGAGCTATAGTCTAGATAAATGGACAAGTTTAGGCGCTTCTGATCATTTCTTGACGAGTAGGTAGACGTTGTCGACACGGAGGGGGGTCAGTTTCTTGATAGGGCCTTGAAGCGACATAAGAAGACCGCCGAAAGAGCAGTAGGCATTGCTGTACGTTAGATTCAGTCAGCAAACTTGGGTGTTCCAGACTCGGTGACAAGGGGGCTTCATGTAAGAGACGCACATGGTATTTCCATCGAATGTCTCCTCGAACTTATAGATCTTTCCATGGCACACGTAGTCGTAAAGGTCGGCGGCTGTCGCTGGCGCATCACCACCTTTGCCAACGTCTCGCCAGCCCTTCTCGTCCTCCTTGCTTCCGTCAAGGGAGAGGGTAGTAGACAGAACTACGTGCAGGGTGTCTGAAACAGCACAGGGGAAGAGCTCGATGTTGATATCTAGAGTCATAACAGTCTGAGAGTCGCTTGAAGTGCACGAAATGCGGGCGACACGGTCATACTTGGACTGATCATACTCAGTCACAGTGAATGATTCTTCGAACAGAGTAGCGTCGCCGCTCGCCATGTTGGGCAGTCGAGAAGAAGGCAGAAGAACGGATGGAATATATTGAGGGAGGAAGAGTGAGTGCTTCGTATCGTTATGATTTTCGCCTTGTCGTTAGTTTGCATCAAAGAAGAGAAAATGTTTGGATGCGGCTCGGAAAAAGTTGGTGGATACTTGGGTACCTCAGACTGCCCGTAGGTGGGGCACACACAACACCTACGACCGACCTCAGGTACGGATACTTACCTACCTCTGGTATCACACACTCTCCCGTCTCTACCTACTAACCTACTAGGGTACAGCAGGCACTTACATTTAACTTCCTGGATGGTTATCCATTTGTTAAAAAGAGGAGAAAGAAAAAGTATCACTCAGCAACTCGCACATGAAAGACAATGACAATGTCTTTTCGCAAGCGCAATATCGTCATTGGAGCTGCCGGGTCTTCATCTCCCATCATTCGACAAGAGAAGTCTCTTGCACCCGGAACCAGACCATCTCCATTAGATGGACGCTTGACTACCTCTACAGGCACGCAGTCTTTGGATCGGCTCTTGTCAGGTCATGCTGGAATGCCAATGGGAACTTCGTTGCTCGTTGAAGAGACAGGAACCACGGACTTTGGAGGAGTACTGTTACGATACTATGCCGCCGAAGGACTTGCCCAAGGACATCAAGTTCACCTCTTGGGGTTTGATGATGCTTGGAGAAGAGAGCTTCCTGGTCTCGGCAGTCCTGATGGCTCTAAGAAGAGCAGCAAGCCAACCTCATCATCAGATGAAAAGATGAAGATTGCTTGGCGCTACGAGACACTCGGACAGCGCAACGTGCCAGTGAGAGGTATGCTCTGTGCGCTTCCTCCAAGGACGTTATGCTGACCTGCGACTTATTGTAGATACTCAAGCACCAACAACTCCCGGACAGACACCGAGCACGTTCTGTCATGGCTTCGACCTGACCAAGCGTCTTGAAAACAGCGCCATCAAGGGTCAGCTGCACACAACCCCAGTGGAAGGTCCCATGGCATCTCCAACAGACACCCCGTTCCGCAAGTTCATTGCCGATGTTACCTCTCAAATCAAGAACTCGCCACATTCTACGGTTCATCGGATCGTGGTACCCAGCCTCCTCTCGCCTACACTGTATAATTCTGCTGCCAGTCAACCCAAAGAGGTCCTCAAGTTCCTCCATGCTTTGAGAGCACTCCTCCGACAGTACTCCACACAGCTTACGGCATTTGTGACTATTCCAGTCACTTTGTTCCCCCGATCTACCGGACTGACGAGGTGGGTGGAGTTACTATCCGATGGAGTTCTCGAGTTGATTCCTCTGCAACACCAAGCTCAGGTCGCGCGGGAGCCTGGCAACGAAGACAAGGGTCAAGGGCTACTACGCGCCCATAGCTTACCTGTGTTCCACGAAAAGGGCGGTGGTCTGGAAGGTACCTGGAACAGGGAAAACCTATCTTTCAAGCTGAGCAGTTCCAGTGGGTTGGTCATTACACCCTTTAGTCTACCACCGATTGGAGACGAGGAAGAACCAAATAAAGCTTCCAAACCCAACGATCACAAGAAGGAGACTTTGGATTTCTGATGAGGAGGCAATTCAACGATCGACCTGGTTTTATGATTCTGCCTTTGAGTCTCATGCTCAGGAGTCTTATCTTATCTCCCCCACCCCACTCGCCTAAAATTTTCATCACCTAAAAGCAGCTTCAAGCTCTTGACCTCTCTTCTCTTCTTTCTTTCTTCTGATCAGCATCATCAATCCCAAAAGGTACGTCCAAATCAATCTTTTTCTCTCGCAATTCATCCACACGACTCGGACACAATGATTATACACTTATTAATCTGTCAATCCCCTGATTTTCTGTGACGACACACAATAAAATTACGAAGACGACTTATGATGTTGTCCTTTTCACATTTGATTATGCTCGCTATACTCCCAACGACACGCCCGCTAACTCCCAACGCTTCCACAGATATTATGGCCTCTTTCGACCCAGTCCATGTTCGGATATCCAAGATCGCTGGAAGATATCTCATCTTCGATTCTGAAGCGGCTACGTTCTTGCGTCGGAATGAGAATATCAACGGTACTCTAGTCGGAACGGCGCCTCAGCAACCGACTCAGAACATCTTTCTCGGTCTTCCAATTGAGCTCCGGCCTGAGGAGGCTGAAGCGTTATTGCATAAGAATGTGGCTTATCTTGTAGACGACGTAGCTGCCCACTACCATGTTCTCCAGAATCACAACGCCGAGGCGAGGAGGTTATACCTCGACTCACTTAGAACAAGAAAGCAGACAGCACAACAGGTTATTGCTGAGAAGAATTCCAAGAGGGTTGCTGAAGGAGCATTGAAGCGTGGAAAATCCCGCCGTGTGCCTCCTAGCAATCCCGACGACGACATCATCACCTCTAGTGAAACTAAACCCGCCTTACATCAGCAGGAATCGGCCATTAAACCCCTAGGTGTCACCCCAACGTCCAGTGGGTCGCTGATTTCTTCAGAAGCTGAACGGACATACCAGGCCACTAACCCCACGCAAGGCCCTTTGTGCGGCTTTCTACTTACTTCTGGTCACTATACAACTCCAGGCCTTCGCTTTGGTGCCAAGTATAGTGTTTATCCAGGCGATCCCTTGAGGTTTCACGCCCATTTCATGGCAAACCAGTATGAATGGGAAGAAGATATTCCCATATTGGACATCGTAGCAGGAGGTCGCCTCGCAACAGCTGTGAAGAAGGCGTATCTAATAGGGGCAGAACAGCCACTAGCGAATGTATCACGGGATGACCAACAGATGAGAACCTTTAGTATCGAATGGGCTGCAATGTAAGAGCTTTGAATATAATAGATGCTTTGCCGAACATAACCTGACAAGATGATTTGAGTCAAAAGATGAAAGTCCTTAACCATTGTGAATTCATGCCCATCAGCTCCCGAAATTGAAACAACGCAAATGAGTAGAACAAAGGCTGTAAGTACTTAATCGCAGCAAAAGAAAAGAAAAATTACCGATTCCCTTAATCGTGAGTTAGCAGGAGCTCAGGGGACGAAAACGCGGCTGAAGCTAATAACCTCCCGGCGGCAACAAACGCATTTGTCAAAGTTATTCATAGCAAGAGAAACGCGGCAGTCATCGCATAGACTCAGGCATCGACAGGGCCAGACAATGATGGTCCTGGGTGAACTTTGACACACCACACATTGCGGACCATCGCTTCCAAAACCTGATCCCCCGTTTTCCCATGATGTCTCGGAACATGCCGCAGCAAACGCTTGCCGCCTTGATAGCAAAAGCTGTTCCAAAAGACGCTCCTCTTCGTCAGGATCTAATTTGGTGCTGCGCCCCGGTTGCATAATGTTAGCTTTGGGCTGTAGTAGGCCAGATCCCGGGGAGGCCAAGACTCGAGTGCGTTGCAATTGCTCCATTCGCCGATATTTGGCGCGTGTCATGATCCCATCGCTTTGGAGGTGAGCAGACAAAGTTACGGCCTCCTCACGCTCTTCAGGGCTTGTGGGATGCAGAAGGCGTGCTAGATCGGATATTCGCATAGGGGTGTCATGGAAAGGCGTGCTCTCACGACTAATTTGAGGGGATCGTTGAGTAGGTGTTCGTTGACCGTCGTCATTCTCGTCTTCTGACTCCCATACTTGATAATCATCCACTCCATCGCCGGTGGTCGACATAGAGACGACGCTTGTAGTGTCGAAGTCGTCATCTGAGTGAGGTTCAAAGTCGCCGCTAGAATCTGCAGATCCCCACCAGCCATTTTTCACCCAATACTTGTATAGGTCCCTGTCTAGGCTCTCCTCGTCTTGGTCTATGCATACACGCCTGAACTCGGCCTCGATGTCTGCCGTCTCCTCTTTCGGTATGCTTCCATCGTTATATGAAGATGGTCCTCTTGGTCGTGGCTGTTTACGACTAGAGCTTTTGCTCTGGCCATCCATGCTTTTTGGGTGCTGGGCAAGCCAAAGAAGCCATGCCGGCTGATATCGGATCCGTAGAGTCGCAAGACACCATAACAAAGACTTGGCGCTAATTCTTGCAAGAAGTTTGTTGATACTGAGTAGAAACTCCAGTGCCATAAGCCAGCGAGAACTCCTTTCAGACGCGCCAATGCCCGCATGAAGGTTGCGCTCACTGCGTCCTTTCGGTATCTTCTGAGCAGCACGTTCGCGCGCGTACCCATTGGATGCAATTGACGGGCCCCCTTTCACGGGAATTAGGCCGATTGCGCCGATCTGGTCATATCGCGAGTCGGGCAGGCCGCCGCCACCACCAATTAGTTTTCTTTGCAATTCCTCGGCCTCCTTAAACCGCTGCTCTTCCAGCCAGGTGCGTCGTTTTAAACTGATGCGTTTGTCCTCATTTAGGTAGACGGCTTCACTAGCCATAGTGATAGCGCCGAACCCAGTTCGCAGTAGAGCCGTGTAGAAGTCCATTTCTCGAGTGATGCGAATGGAAGAGAGCGATACGTTCGCCTGCATGTTTTCATGGGCATGGATTAGACGCTGACGAATGGTCATTGAAGCCATGTCTGATGTCGAAGGGGGAGAGAATGCTGAGAGGAGCAAAGCAAGCCCGTATATGAACAAGCATATAGTGATACCTAGTAGAACAAGGACATGTGGCACAAACCCTATGATGCAAACAGTTGGAAATCTGAGTAGACTCTGAGAGGATGGATTGTCAAGGTCAAAGGAGATGGCTGCCCATACAATGCTAGCCATAAAGCAGAGACCCCAGAATCCCGTACTGATAAGTCGGTACCTAGCTTGCAGATTGAAGATGCCGAGGATATGGCTCGTGATATGCGTCATCGAAGATAGCAAGGCAACGAGGAGGACTTCGGGCGAGGTGTTGACCCTTCTCATAACCATTGACCTAGTCAGAGCTATAGCATTTCCAAGCCCTGAGGCTGGGGCATCAGCAGAAGTTGTTTTAGTGAAAAGGTTCCAACCAAGCTGGTTGCTGATAGCGGCATCGGCCTCTGCAAACGCAAGAGATTGCTCGAATAGTGTCATCCCTGTCTCCGGTGCGACGGGACGGCCCTGCACGGCACAGGAAACGGTCTCAAGGAACTGGCTAAGACAAAATGTTCCGAACAAAGGCCATAGCATGGACAAGGAGCCGGTCAGATTACGAGCAGAACCAGATTCATCCGAAGGTATCATCCGAACGGCAATACAGGACTGTTCATCGGAGGCTGAGAAGAGTAAAATTGAACTCAAAGAATTAAAAAAGGCGTTTTGGTGTGAGAACATCAAGTCTGAGCTTTTGCTTGCATTACCCCATCGTAGCTCGGAAAAGTCGGATGAGGTCTGGCACTGAATAGATTGAAGTAACTGGCGCGCCTGTACTACCAATAGGATGATGGGAACGAATCGTAATAAGAGTCTTGTCGGCCATCGCAAGCGTAGGCGTCGTCGAGTGGCAGCGAATATGTGTGTCCTGTTGAGTATGACTGCCATAGCTATGCAACACAAAGCCCACTTGCTGGTGGCATATCCAAAGACACTGCCCAAGCTACGGACACTGTCAACGGGCACTCGTCCCATGGGAGCAGTGGCCGCTGTCTCAGACCCCCCCGTACCTAACAAGGGCTCCATTCTGTTTTGAATATTCGGGTCGGCTTCAGCAAGTATGGTGTTCGCGCCAACTACTGCTGGTATGTAATTCGAATTGCCGGTCGTCGTCTCGAGATGCTCGGGCACAGAAATGTAAGATCCAAGCTTCTTAACGAATCGTGGACCGGCCCAGACAAGGTCCTCTAGTATGGGCGCATAGCGTGTCACATTGACAGTCCAGACAGCAGGATTGTACCACGGACTAGATGCATTGGCAGAACTGAGCCCTGTGTTGGTTATGAGGCTGGTGAGGGGTGATGGCGCAGAGGGGACGAACTCGTCGGCCATGGCCTAAGAGGAAACTATCGGGCACGAAGTTGTCGGAAGCGGATGGAAGGCAAGTTAAGAGAAATGAAGGCTGCGAAATAAACGCGACGGTCGTAGGAGCGTTATTTTGATAACGAGCCACTAGTTTTCGCCGAGGACATTGTGAAGTGTCCTTGTTTGAAGCGTGGTTTGTTGGCCTAGGGAAGCGATGATGAGGCAAGGCATTGAGCAACCTCAGTGTTGACATCGAGGTGGAGGTGGTAACTTGCGGAAACTACCTATATAGACTATCGATGTACCTACCTTCCATTACCTGCTAGGTCGAGACAACCTTAAGCCCAGACTGAGTTGGACTCACGGATACTAGCGCATCCTCTGGGGCCCACTGCAGCGGCCAAGCAGCTATAGGAGTGTTTGTACAGTCATGCACAGTGTTGGTAAAGGACATGATGTACCCACCTCAGATCCCCTGCAATGCTTGCATCCACCCACGGGAAGTGGTCCCGATTTCGGCGCCAGACCAGAGGTTAGTTAGTACTTAGGTAGGCAGGTAGGTAGTTGAGCTCTCTGGAGTTTCAAATGGCGTCCTTTAGGGTAACTGCCAACTAAGGTACGCTCAATTCTAGGACATGATACTAAAGCTGGCATACCATTATCTTGTACTTTCATATCCACCCACGGGATTAAAAGGTTTTCTCAACGCCGCCTGACATTGCCCCGAAAGAGCTGGACATCCTGCTGGGTCTAGCGTTTCTATCAAGCAACGATCCCTAAGTTATTCAGCGGGTTTAGAGCCTGAGAGGTATCTTATGAGTTAAGTGTACTTAACTCCTCTTGATGTGCTTGACTCCTCTTGATATCTGAACTTCCTTAACAGTTTGTCTACCTCCTTCCCATTTGGCTTCATTCTCAATCATATTTTATGATACTTCAAAGAATATCAATATTATTCTTCATCCAAAAGCTGTGTCCTACAAAACCATTCGAGCCAGGGCTTATCCAGAGTGGCCAAGAACGCCCATGACACGCCCGCATAAGGCGAAGGAACTCAGTGGGATTGTTTTGATCGAAGCACAAAGAACTTAAGAAGCTGGCTTTTGCAGTCGACAGAGCCTTTGATGATGTGATTGATTGAATGCTTAAAAACGCCCATGAAGTTGTGGAATATGCTGACCTACTATCCAATCAACCCGCGATGACTGATTCTTTGAGTGATGCAGCTACTGCAAGGTTGGCTCCTTTGCTTGCATGTACGGCACGGGCGACAAGGTCGCGATGCAGACTGGCATCTGATGAAGGCAAGCTTCCCTTCAGCCAGAGATTTGTGATTTCGTCCCGGGAGGGAAGATAGGCCACACAGCAAGCTGCGAGTATTTGCGAGTGCTCCGAAGGAACTGGATCGAGCACCATGATGGGTTCATCATTGTCCGCCCCAGGCACCAAAGCCGCAACACCTCCAGAGACAGTATCGACACAGTCAATACCAGCATCCGCGAGAGCGGCGGCGGCAACAGTGATGCAGCCACTAAGCACGTTCATCATATCCCATTCCTCGCTTCCATGTTCCACAGCTACCTGGCGGGCTTGATCTCCTTCAATAATGGTAACAACCACATCCACTCCACTCTTGGGCCAACGGTCTGCAATGAGTGCGCCCCTGAGAGCTGCTTCAAGATGGGTGCTTAAGTCACGCTCGGTAGAATCGCGTAAATAACCCCTTCTTTGACGTGTTGCAAAAGGTGCGTATTTGACATGTGTAGAGAGGACCATGTGAGGGGAGAAGGGCGCTGATCGAGGTAGAGACCTAGGCCCATGAACAGTGCATGAAAGTTTCATGCCCTTACTGCTAGAATCTTGCCGTGATTCAATTTCTAGGTACGCCGATCCAGAGGCGGATGGGGTTACCCCAGTCTGCAAATCTAACGAAATGATATCAGTCAACTATTCACAATAGGCGACTACAAGTTGCTGAGAGAAGCGTATTGGGAACTCACATTGCGACCTGATACCATTTGGAGCACGAGTCCGAGTGGAAGCAGCAAACTCATCTGCTTCGTAAACAGGTGCCACTGTGATACCTCCAGGGCCATTAATGCGTCGTCGGTCTGCCATTTAGATAATTATTCCTTGTCTTCAAGATCTCTCAATCTCAGGGCATGGATTTTACCTGGAGTGGATTGAAATTCATCGATGCATCAAACGGGGCGCTACGACGCTTAGTCATCAACGGCTCCATACACTTTCCTTCAAATTTTCTCGCTGGTCTGCTCCAAGAGAACTGAACTTTCTCTCCTCCATACATCGAGAGCCTGCTTTTTGTCAACGACTGCCTTCGACAGGCAAAACGAATCAGGATTTGATTGTCTTGTTCAAATATGTCGTGGGATAAATTGCATGAGCAGCAGGGCCTCTCGATGACGATGAGTTACTGAGGTACGTGACGCGCCGATGCGTTTTCACACACGCGCAACGATGATCCTTCACACCACTGTTCCCGCGAAACCTGAGCGTTTGAACAACATGCACTACCATCTGAGCACCTTACGATTCTTCTCCTTCCACACGATATCGGTGATGGGGGTAATGCTAACCTCACAAAAGACTTCAGACCATTTGCTACCACCTTCAATTGCTAGCTGTGAATAACGATACAAGGTCAGTCAGATTTTCCCTTTTCACTCTACACACAAGCTCCTTCCCATGTCGATGATGAGAAAATCTTTCATTCAGTTCTGCTACTGAACCATTGTGATGACTCCCAATTACCATACCAAGATCTCTGATACACATCTTGCCTCCTCTTTCAATGTTGCCGCCGTTTGTTTCGATCACAAGCTAACTATCAAATAAGTCCCAAGCTGATTATTTTCTGTCCCTGCGAGTCACGTCCCAGAATTGTCAGGCTCGACCTCGGTGCTCGATGCAACATTGGTAAGTTCACTGCGAAGACGCAAGGGCAAACAAAGGAGCTGTGTTACATGATGACGCAAGTTCTATCCATTCAACGACTTCTTCTTGACCAAGTCACCCTCCCGCACCGTAGGCTTTCTATGAGAGCCGATGACTGGTTGTGGAGTTGCTCTCTCGAGTGTCATGAAGACTCCAGTGTTTGGGCTTCTGGTAGCTCGTTTTGGGTTATCCAGTATCCTAGGCCGGTCGAGATGACTGAGTAAATCGGCTTGTCTGACTATCACACGCTCCTTTTACACTCTTGGTCCGATTCTAGCCTTGGCTTTGAACAATGGCTAACGGGTGCAGATTCCTCATAGTGATCAGTGCCCTCAGCATTTTGTACAGGTTTTTGCTTAATCGAAAGTGCGGTAAGTTGTTGGTATCTGAGTGTGATAGTTGCCTTTCATAGTGATGATAAATATACCTTGGTTTTTCAATCCTACCTAATTTGTCCTGCCTGTCCCCAATTTTCGATGCTCTTCGAATTCCGAGTTGGCGTGTCAGTTGTGACATCAGCAGCGCCTGGAAAATGCTGAACGAATGGGAATGAATTTGACGAGAAACAAGAAACTGATAGTCATGCTTGACTGGTTGCGTACTCATTGACTGCTTCATGTAAGTGTTTCTTGCCTAGGTGTGGGTGCTTTTTCAAAGGAACTTGAGCTCGGTGGTAATGGATATGTTTATGGAGAGCCATCCTCAACCGACTGAAGGAACCGATAACTTGTAGTTGGATCTGTACCTACTACTGCAAAGTATCCATGAAGGTTCATATCGTAATCTGACAGGATCCCATTTTTAGAGACAAGCTGTGTGGATCGTATCGGCGTTCAGGATGGCCTACTCGATCCACCTCACCCTCCACTGTCTCAAACGAGTTAATGTCAAGTGGCCCAATCAAAACAGCCCCTCGACCCTTTCCCTTGACTAAGAGTAACTGAGCACATGCATTTCACAGCACTCGTTTCGCCCTGGCACGCAAGACCTCGTATCCCATTCCCCAAGCTACTACTAACTATCTGTACGTTGCTAAAGTATCTAGGTCGGCATTGGAGCCACCTTGCCCTTGCACCACACATCACAGCACATATCATTTATTGCGACGACGCCTACGAGAAACGATACGATACAGTTGAAAGCGACTAAAGCCGTCAACAAACCATACTGGGGACGACAGGGATTGGGTGCTTGATGCAGACATTAAAGCCAGCATCACTATTTGGACCCCTGAACTTAGCCTCATATCTATCAACCTTCAAAGCGCAACCTATTCGATCGCTCTCGAGACCATCCGGTCCCTTGGCCCACCAGTTTCTGCTATCCAACACGCTCGATCGACGCGCCGCAGAGCTTCTCTGCGCAAAAGCTGTCAATGCCATCCTATGACTTGCCAGGCTCCAATTCGAAGATGATGCCCCGGCATCATGCCGCCGCCTTTTCGAATGGCTATCCTCGTGGGAATACCTTTGACATCTCCCCTCACAAGTAAGATTTCATCTCCTGAAATTCTCGATTCATGACCCGTACACTACTGGCACAAATGTTGATGTCAATTAGCTGACAAGGCGTCTCAACTAGGTTCCAGCCGCGCACTTTGACGCCTGCCCAACGGCGTCGCAATAAACTTCTCGTCCGCCTATGCATTTTAGCGGCGATACTGTTCGCTTTTAGTCTCTGGCTTTGGCCTTCCAGCCCCGTGGCTTCGCTGGTATCTTTCGGACTCCTTTCTGCTGGTGGTGCACCAGAACTTGAGACAGTTCGATACTACGACTTGACCACCGTCCAGGGCACTGCTCGTGGCTGGGAACGCGAAGAGCGCATTCTGTTATGTGTACCACTACGTGATGCCGAGGCACACTTGGGAATGTTCTTTTCGCATATGCGCAATCTCACATATCCGCACCACTTGATCGACCTTGCCTTTCTCGTGTCCGATTCCAAAGACAATACTCTAAAGGTTCTTTCTGATAGTTTGGAGGCCATCCAAGCCGACCAGGATCCTAAGCAACCATACGGGGAGATCTCAATCATCGAGAAAGACTTCGGGCAGAAGGTCAACCAGGATGTCGAAAGTCGCCACGGTTTCGCTGCTCAGGCCAGCCGACGAAAGCTGATGGCGCAAGCCCGAAATTGGCTTCTGAGCGCAGCTCTGCGGCCGTACCACTCCTGGGTTTATTGGCGCGACGTAGACGTTGAAACAGCACCTTTCACCATTTTGGAGGATCTCATGCGCCATAACAAGGACGTCATCGTTCCCAGTATGTTTACGTGAAGTAAAAATGTCTGAGGATGAACCCCAATTTCTAACTTCTGTCCAGATGTTTGGCGACCATTGCCTGACTGGCTCGGTGGTGAACAGCCCTACGATTTGAACTCATGGCAGGAGTCTGAGACAGCTTTGGCCCTCGCCGACACACTTGATGAAGATGCTGTCATTGTTGAAGGTTATGCCGAATATGCCACATGGCGTCCTCATTTAGCGTACCTCCGTGACCCCTTTGGTGATCCCGACATGGAAATGGAAATTGATGGTGTTGGGGGTGTCAGTATTCTTGCAAAAGCCAAAGTCTTCCGATCCGGTGTTCACTTTCCAGCCTTCAGTTTCGAGAAGCACGCAGAGACAGAAGGTTTCGGCAAGGTAAGAAATTAGACACTTACCAAAACGGTCATCATTAACATGTATAAAACAGATGTCCAAGAGAATGGGGTACTCAGTCATTGGTCTACCTCATTATACCATCTGGCATTTGTATGAGCCTAGTGTGGATGATATCCGCCATATGGAGGTGAGTATCCCTCTACTATATTAAATAGATATTCGTGTATACTGACGCCGAGTGTAGGAGATGGAGCGGGAACGACTTGCCCGGGAAAAGCAAGAGGAAGAGAAGAAAAAGAACCAACAAAAGATCAAAGAAGAGTATAGTGACACCCGCAACGAGTGGGAGAAGGATAAGCAAGAGATGCAGAATCTGGCAGCTCAGCCAAAGCCCGTGAAAGACACACAGAAAGCTCCCAGCCGAGATGGGTTGGCCCAGCCCCATAATCAACAACCTGGTTCTGGCAACCAAGCCAAGGCGGGCTCAGTTAATGCCGCTCAAGGCGACATCAAAGCGCAAGTGGTCAAGCAGGAGGGTAACGCAGCAAGACAAGAAGGCAAAGCGGTTCAAAAGGGAGACAAACGAGCTGCTGTTGGTGCACAAGATGTGCCCCAAGCCAACCCAGGGGCCGCTCAGCAAGTCGGTAATGCGGCTGCTTGAAGAATTTCCCGTTGATATCTTCTCTTGTCTTGTTTCCTTAATCGCGTACAGTATCTACTTGCTGTGTAATAGAATGGATGTCATCGGAGTCGTTGGTTGTGAATTTGTACACTTAGGCGGAGAACGGCAGACAGGTAAAAGGTGTGACAATTGTTTGGCATTGGCGTTTGGTTGGGAAGGGCTAGTTATTATCGACATCAAAGAAGATAAAAATCCACACGCTTTAATGATTACTATACTGTTGTGGACAAATATGAAGAAAAATAAACAAAGCAGGTTTATTAGGTAGGTACTAGGTAGGTAGTTTTTATTCAACTAATTTTTACAGGATATGGCCTCATATCAATGAAGCTTCCCGAAAGGTTTGCTTTAAAGAAATGTGTTAGTATACTCATAAACTTTTGATGCATTCATGCAATCCCTGAATTGTGATATCTTTATTAGTAGTTATGGAAGCTTGCAAATGAACCCCTTTTCTCATACCTCTGCCTGAGGTGGAACTGTAGGTACCTACCTATACGGTTCCTAGGTAAGGCACTAACCTAAGGTACCTTAAGGAGGGTAGCACCTCCTAGGGAGTCAATGGGAGTTTGGGTTCAAGCGTACCGAGGCTGAAAGGTAAGACCGGCCGTCCTGGCATTCTCTGTTGCGAATCAAAATTGATAATGTTAGGAACGAAATCTGGCTGAATATTTTATTACTTTCAATGTTAATTCCAAAAAAAAAACAAAAAAAAACAAATCTTATCCAGCCCCCAGCTGTGCATGTCTTTCAGGGGGCTAGGACAGACGGTGACACCTGACCAATCAGCGGGGCATGGGGCGACACCTGGAGAAGGACAACGCGCAGCTTCTAAAGATCCTGGCATGAAGTTAAGTGGTACCTTGCTTTAGCTACCTAGTACCTACCTTACCTACAGTACTTACCTTACCTTAGTAAGGTATCTAAGCCGTAGGGACGCTACGTTGCGACTCTGTCTTTATCATCCAACCTCTCAACTCTTTCGAGCAAACTCGACCACAACCGATTCCCCTTTCAGTTTCGCTGGAGACGTGGTGCTTCCTCCCAAGAAGCTTTGTGTTCGGTTTCTACGATATTTCGGACCTCCTTCAGCCACCCCCGAATTTGGGTCAATCATTAAGTCGCAAACCATCACCCACGATTACGAGGCTGCAATATCATGAGTCGCGATGAACAACCTTCTCTGACTATGGAGAGTCCTAGGCCGTCGGGAGTTTCGAGTTTCGAGGACCGCGCACTACCTGTACGGATGCAGTATCGAAGCCGGCCTGTGTCCGTCGCAGTTGACCCCGTGTCGCTGGTCATTTCGGAGTGCATCTCCATAACTTCCGCTATCCAGAAGCATGCTCGCTCTCCACACTCATCCGTTTCCGCTATTCTTGGTGGGAGCCCGAATCCCGTACAGCTTGGGCCTCCCAGTCCTTCACCACGCGGACGAAGTAAGAGCCCCGCGGCGAGTATCAGCGGTGATGCTTCCCATGATGGCCTTACCAATCGCTGGGGTCTTCGTGGGCAGAGGGGAAAGAGCATGCAAGATAACCCCATGATTGCTGGCTTTGGAAAACTAAGGCATGAGCTTGCTGGTGTTAAAGGTATGGTTGGCCAACTAGTCGCCATCACTCCTTTCTTCACCCATGATGGCTGACATTTCCCTTCTAGATATCCGATCATTCGACGCCCCTGCGATCCTCGCTCCGTTCCTCCACGTTATCCAAACTAAGGGTACCGCCGCCCCGATCACAATCTTGGCCCTAGGTGCTTTAAGGAAGTTTCTGGCCTATGGTTTCATCTGCCCCGAGTCACCACGGTTTGCCTTAGCCATGCAATCTCTGTCGAGTGCCGTTACACATTGTCAATTCGATATCAGTGATTCAGGTCAAGTCGAGGTTGTTCTTCTCATGATTCTGAATCTCATGGAGGATATGATGTCCGGCCCGGGTGGAGATATTCTGAGCGACGAGAGCGTTTGCGACATGATGGGTCGTGGCCTCGCCATATGCTCACAGCCTCGTTTCTCCCCCGTTTTGCGCCGCACTGCTGAAGCCTCTATGGTGAGGATGTGCCAAATCATATTCGAAGACGTGAAACACCTCGAGGTTGAAGCTGGCGATGTCACAAACGCCTTGGATCAGCAAGTTGATGACGACCGCGATAGCGTCAGAATGGAAAACCCCGCTCCCGAAGCAGGAGGACTGTCTGCCGAACCTGAGAGCCTGGAGGTACCTGGAATGTCTACCCCAGACCCCGAACGAAGCAGTCGGGACACCACAGCCACTTCTGAAACGGCGCTGGCAACTACAAGCGACGCGACAGAGGAGACGGAGTCTGTAGATCTCAGGCCTTACTCCCTCCCTTCTGTTCGTGAGCTATTCCGGGTATTGGTAAACTTCCTGGACCCTCAAGATCGACAGCACACGGACACAATGCGGGTTATGGCATTACGAATTATTCACGTCGCCCTTGAGGTTGCTGGGCCCTTTATTTCTCGACACCCTGCCCTAGCAGGTATCGCTGAGGACCGATTATGCTGTTATCTGTTTCAGCTAGTAAGGTCTGACAACATGGCAATTCTCGAGGAGTCGCTAGTTGTTGCCGGTACGCTATTGGCCACTTGTCGTGGAGTACTTAAGCTGCAACAGGAGCTGTTCCTATCTTACCTGGTAGCTTGTTTACACCCAAAGGTTGAGATACCCCGCGAGCCCGGTATCGACCCCTCTCTCTATGCTGGCATCCCACAGACGCCCAAACTAGTCAAACCTTCACAGTCATCACAGCCCAGCAGTGGCCGATCGACTCCAGTCCCTGTCAAGGACCGTCAAAAACTTGGCCTGGAGGGTGGATCCCGGAAGCCAGATGCGCGCCAGGCTATGGTAGAAAGTGTTGGGGTCCTGTCGCGTATGCCGACATTCATGGCGGAGCTCTTCATTAATTACGATTGTGATGTTGATCGGGCGGATCTCTGTGAAGACATGATTGGGCTTCTTTCCAGAAATGCTCTCCCTGATTCTGCAACCTGGAGTACCACAAGTGTCCCTCCGCTCTGTCTCGATGCTCTGCTCCGATATATCCAGTTTATTGCCGAAAGACTTGACCAAGATCCTATCTATGGAGACTTTCCTGACCCGGCGACATTAAGGGAGCAACGGCGAAAGAAGAAAATTATTATCAAGGGAGCAAGCAAGTTCAACGAGAAGCCTAAGGCAGGTCTGGGCTATCTGGAAGCACAGGGCATCATTAAAGACGCCACAGATCCTGTTGCTGTTGCCAAGTTTCTCAAAGGCACTTCACGGGTCAATAAGAAGGTCCTTGGCGACTTCATATCTAAGAGAGGCAATGAAGAAATTCTCGGAGCTTTCTTGGACCTTTTTGACTTTTCTGGTAAGCGAGTTGACGAGGCACTTAGACAATTCTTGGAGTCATTCCGACTCCCCGGAGAGGCGCCCTTGATTGCTACGATCGTGGAGGCTTTCTCCGAGAAATTTTGCTCCCACGACACAACTGGCGAAGTCGCAGACAAAGATGCAGTCTACATCTTGACGTATGCTATCATCCTGTTGAATACTGATCAACATAACCCCAACCTGGACGCCAAGAAGCGCATGACGTTGGAGGATTTCGCAAGAAACCTCAGGGGAACTAATAACGGCCAAAACTTTGCTCCCGAGTATCTGCAGACTATCTACCAGTCCATCAAGTCCAACGAAATCATCCTGCCTGATGAACATGATAACAAGCATGCCTTTGACTATGCATGGAGAGAACTGCTTCTCAAGACAGAGTCAACTGGTAACCTTGTAATATGCGACACAAACATTTATGATGCTGATATGTTTGCAACGACCTGGAAACCTATTGTTTCTACCCTGTCCTATGTATTCATGTCCGCCACAGATGATGCCGTGTTCGCTCGAATCGTCACTGGCTTCGATGAATGCGCTCGCATTGCCACGAAATACCAGAACTCGGAAGCTCTTGATCAGATTGTTTATTGTCTAAGCCACATGTCGACGTTGGCAACCGACACACAGTTCAACACTACCCTGAACACTGAAGTTCAGGCAGGGACTGGTAGCGTCATGGTAAGCGAACTCGCTGTTAAGCTCGGTAGGGATTTCAGGGCCCAACTTGCGACTCTTGTGTTGTTCCGTGTCGTTACTGGAAGTGAAAATCTGATACACAGGAGTTGGAAATATGTTAGTAATCGAGCCTTGTCAGTTGAATGGATGCTCACATTGACAGATGATTCGCATATGGCTCAATCTATTCACCAACTCGCTCATTTCGCCGTTCTCTCCAAGCAACTTGCCAGGCTTACCGTTGCCCCCCATTCCACTGCAAACGCCATCACAAGTCATCGACCGAGTAGCGAGGAATGCGGACACTGGTTTCTTTTCGGCCTTCACGTCATACATTTCTAGTTATGCTGCCGACGACCCCCCTGAACCATCCGATGAAGAGCTAGAAAGCACACTTTGTACTATCGATTGTATTAAGTCATGCAATATGACTGCGGTGTTTGAAAATATTGCGTAAGTTGTATGTTTGTATAGTCAGGATCAAGCTAACTATGTGAAAGTAACCTGAGTCCATCCGTTGCTAAAGTCATCGTCGAAACACTTGTTGATCAACTCCCCGAGGATTTTAGCACGACCGTAATTAGTGTCAAGCATGAGAGTTTGCCCACGTCTCCCACGAATGGTCACGTTCGACCGCCAGGGCATTTGGAGTATGATCCAAGTGTTGCATATATCCTAGAGTTCTGTACACTTTTGGCGTCACGGGATGCAGAATCCATCGAGAGCATGGGTAAAGTTGTCTTCGACACACTACAAAGTGTTCTTCGCGATCCAGCCCGATACCATGCCATTACAGTTTCCCGGGCGTCCTTCTATGCTCTCAAGCTACTCAATGTTAGCTATGTAAGTTTTGTAGCAAACGCTTTTAAACTTGAAGCTAACCATTCAAGGATCATGACTTCG